GTGGGCAGCAGTATTAGAGACGTGGAGCCATCAACATCAGAATAGGATATGTGATCCGGAATCATGTGGACGAGTGCTGTAGCATGGAGGCCAGGGAATTTTAAATTTGGTGACAGGTGGAGTCTCATATTGGCCGGTGGGTGTTCACAGTAGACCAGGTGGCCTGGGTGAGAGGTTTTAGACCATTCTGTGAGCATTTTGGATCTGGAGGGTCATGGAGCTCCTGGTGCTTTACTCACCAAATGGGACTTTCTGTGGAGTCTGAACGGCCCTCCTTGGGCCTTTGAAACGGCTGAGTAAGCCTTTAAGCAAAAGGCATGAAGACCTCAGTAAAGGAGTGGGTCACCCATCATAGAAAGTGTCATTCTTTCAGGGACTCAGAAGTTTACGGGCCCAATGCCAGGAGTCTAAAGTGACTCAGTTAATAATGAGACACACAAGATCACCACAGCATTTGCACCACCTGTTTTGAAAGTCGGCCAATCTCCAGCCACTAGAGCAGTTATCCCAGGCAAAGTTCTACTCCCAGAACACAGTGCGTAGCATGCCCAAAAGCTATGGTCCACACTCAGAGGTTTCTGAGATATGGAAAGCAGATGGAGAGATTCCTTGTATCAGTTTCCCCCCAGTGCTGGTCTGTCAATGCCCACTTTCTAAAATCTACTACCTGCGAACTCAAATTCAATTGGAAGGAATATCCCCAATAAGGCGCCCTTTGGTGGACTGCAGGAGCCTTAGAAAGTGAGTGCAACGTAGCATCGGTTAAATCAAGCTGCAAGCAGCAGGGCTGTGGATGTCCGAATACCAACAGCAGGCCCTCAGCCCAGCATGCAACCTCCAGGCACCCCTGCCGCAGTTTCCAGGCCGGAAAGCACTCTACGCCAGGCTTTTAGGCAAACCTGGGAAGAACATGTGCTTCTTCCAGCTGTTTCAAGGCAGCTAGGGGCCAATGCAGCAGAGAGTGCTAGCAGGGTTCTAGTCCTGACCAGCAATGCCAGGCCAGTGTCACCAGCACTACAGCCACTGCCCCAAGTGACATTTTGTGTTCAGGCCCAAGGAAGGAATGGTGGAGGGACTAGTGTTGGGTGCACGTGGCTTGTCTACAGTTGGCACTGCAGAGCTTAAGTCCACATAAAGGAGAAACTATCCCTCGGAGGCAGCTTTCTCAGGCCTAATTCCAGAGTTTGCTTTCAGCAAATTCACTGGGCAAAGCGGCTATAAAGCTGTCTTACAACCCGGCCTCCATCAGCAGTGTGGACTTCACCTACCATCTTTTTATTTCTCAAATGGTCCAGACCATGCTCTAGACTGCCAATAGCTCTGAGCAGCTGCTCAAAGCTTGATTACAAGGCCTGATTAGAAGTTGAATGGAACCTAGTAGAGGTGACTCAGCAGATAAATCTTTAAAAATTAAGAGGATCGGGCTCCTGGGTGCCTTGGTTGATTAAGCAAATGATTTTTGCTCTCAGCTCAGGTCTTGAGCTCAGGGTCATGAGTTCAAGCCCCACATTGGGATCCATGCTGGCGTGAAGCCTACTTAATAGGTGATAGATAGATAGATAGATAGATAAAATTAAGGACTAATATAGTACCCCCTTAAAAGCCCTAACAACCCTTAAAAACACCCTACAACTCTATCTGAAGATGGAGATTAAGTAAATCAGTAATCAGGCTAAAATCTGTGTTTCCTTAACTATCTGAGTGCTGGGAATATTTTTTTTCAAGCATAATAAACAATGAAAGATTATCTCATACAAATTCTGTAAGTCATACTGATTTGGACCAAAAGCGTAAAATTAGTAAATTCACACGAAAGGTGAGAAAATGGAAATGGAATGTACAACTGTATTCAATTAGAGGCAATTTTAGATAATTTTATTATCTGTCAATTTATCAACCAATATCTAACATTTATGGTTTTGCTACATTTGGATAAGCACATTGAAGAAGAATGTAAATTAAATACTGTAAAAGTTGCCTTTTAATGAATCATGACCTTAACAGGATATGGATATATAAATTTAATGGTTTTATTGCATTAGAAAATTATATTGTGAAAGATACAAAAAAATCAATAGATGTTATTATTTCCGTTTATTTCACCATCAGAATGCCAACTTTTACCATTATGGCTTTAAATTTTCAAACTGCCCAATAGATCTCAAAGAATAGTTTATTACATGCCTAATAAAACACTTAAAATATTTACAGATTCAAAATAGATGTTTCAAAACTGAAAAAAGTTCACCTGAGAATTCATTATAGCATTGCCATTTGATTTTTTTTCCCAAGTTGTTAATGTGGCTAAGTGTCCACATGCAACCTGTATCGTCTACTGCATCAAATATATTTAACTCCTTATTTAAAACTGGTTAAGCATTAAGCTACAGTAAATTATGTTATTAAATTTACAGATGGAGAACCAAGATTTAATTTATAACCATATTTGATCTGGATGTAACAATTTAACAGATTATTTGCTGTAGCTGTAGAATTCAAACAATGAAAGCAATTTTAAGGTAATGTTACTTTACTGAGTCAGACATAACTGTCTTGAAAATCATCAAGCACTGAGAAGGCCAATTAATAAAATAAGGAACAATGATCATGTAAATATGCCATACACAAACTGAAAACAACCTTTCCAAAATTCTGCATGAAGGAAAAGATATACACTGTATATACATAATCCTGTCATTTGTCCTCTTCTGCAGCCTTAAAAAAAAAAAATCAAAACAAACTTTCTTAGAAAAAACTTCTTTAGAAGTTAATGTTAAAATAGGCATAAATGTGTAATGCTATGCAATATATAGAAAACTTCCCCACCTTATGGCCGAAAAACAAAGATAAAATCTTTTTCTCTCTCTGTCCCTCTGTATTACAATTTGAAAATCATGTAGGTATGAGGTAGTGTAGTTACTTGTATTACATGCTGGCTATTAAAAGTAATGCTATGTTTTACAAAATATTACAGTTGGCCAATAATCAGAATTATCATGAAAATAAACCCCTAATGCTGAACTTAAGTTTATATGCAGAGAGAAATTTAAACCAAGTGTCTTAAAAATCATATTTAAATTCTGGAGACAACTGGGTTGTATCATAAAATATTAAGTAACCTTTCAAAGCAGTTATTTACAGTAGCAGTTAAAGCAAAAGGTTATGTGACATTTGCACATACACAAACCGATACGACAAACAGCTGAGTGTACACTGAGGTAGGAAATCAAGGATTCCACTGGTTTGTATAAGATTTTACATTTTGTAAACCAGAAAAGTTTTTATATTATTTTATATTTTGAAGTTAAAATTTAAAATTACAAGTATCAAAGAAATAGCTACATGGGGATATTATATAGATAGGGTATACACACACACGTCTTTGTAGCATGGGATGCATTATCATAGAATTACTCTCCCTGACAAGTTCTTAAGGGTACTTATAAAAGCCTCTAGAAAATAAGCAAGCCCAACTAGTTTTCTCTTACAACTAAGTCAGTAACAGAGATAACATACAACCACTGAAAATATACTAGCAGTATCTCCCCCAACCACCCACCTCCCCATTGAAAAGGATAAACATTTGACAAAATTACTCGGAAGTAGTAAGTCTGGTCCCCATAAGCTGTCAGGACAAAGGTCTACTTGCTTCAGACTCCCTCCTGCGGGATGGATGCTCGTCTCCCGGGTCAGCTACCCAAGTCCTTCACTAGACTCAGAATGCAAGCGGTTAAAGCCTCTCGGCTATCTGATCCCGGTGCAATTCAGTACTTTCCAGTCCAACACGGTCAGTTATTCCTGTGTTCCCTTTAAAACTCCGCTCTGCAAATGCTTCTGCCCACGTGAATATATGCAATTTTTAGAAAAAATTGTTGAGAAGGTTCATAATCCATAGGTCTATCTGCCTCTCAAACAAGCCTGTAACATCAGAATGGCCAAGAACCACTGAAAAATGTTATGGGGTATGTGCTGAGATTATACACACTTTATTTTCAAACAGGAAAAAATGAACGCAAGGACCGATTACAAAATGCCCAAGTCAAAATGATCGGTGTGCCCTTATATACCAGATTTGGGGAAGAAAGATTACATCTGGTTCCCAAATTCAAACCCACAATGGAACAAGATTGAGTTGCATCCTACTTCACAAACCTTTATGTTTGCAGATACATTTTTATCTACAGTAGTGCTTTATACAAGCAAACCACAGGACTTCAGAAACCAGAGGAAGAACTAACTGCTGCTCCGACCAATGTCAGCAGTCGGCCCTCCCCGCAGTGGAAAGACGCACGGGTGACCTCTGCTGGGAAGACCAACAGCCTTGGATTCTGGAAAGCTCTCGGGAAGTCTAGGGAGGCTACAACAATGCTGCCAACGCATCCTTCACACCACTGTATCCCAAGTCCTATTTCTTCAAAAAGGAGAACATCAGGATGTCCGTCATATGGACCTAGATGTGGTAGAGACTGCAGAGAACAAAGGAGGGGGCACAACACCTCTCCTGTTGACACGGCCAGAATTTCTGAAGCTGACGCCGGGGGAGCGCAGGAGCCTCTGCCTCAGGCCACCCGCATGCTGCTGTCTCCTACCTACTCCCAGGAGAGGTAAGCAGTCGTGGTGTCGGCCGACCAATCCCTGGCTTCAGTGAAAGAAGAGCAGAGCTCCAGGATTCAGGAAAGACAGTGTTGTTCTCACACTGCGATTCTACACGAGTTTTTCTCAGTTAGTTGACTTCTAGGCAGAACTGAGCTCCACCAGCATGACCCGGGGAGGCATCTTCTGTTAAACCCAGTGTAATGCAGAAAGGTCAGATTACAACACTTTTTCGGGCTCCTTCTTCAGTAGGAACCCTGCAGACATTTCAGGCTGTAAGGCTGTTGATTGATACGCTGCTTTCATTCTCAAATTTATTTTGCGTGCTGGGAAGTTACTACTCACAGTTATTATTCTTAATAACATGAGCTTTTAAAGCCTTACTGCTTTATCACAGGTGGTTTTTCGGGATCCAGGGGGCATGTAATTTCTGCATCTCATGGAAATCAGAGAAAAATCAGGATTCACTGCAGAGGAATTCTCTTAACAGCAAACTACCAGGGGCAAAAAACAGTATCATTAAGAGACAGAAGCTATATTATGCATTTAAGACAACGAAACAGCAGTAGAAAACGAGTGGTGTGAAGGACATGAATGCAAGTTTACTCATCAGTAGTACATTTATCCGTCATCTGCTGGCAGAAATCAGAGATGCCTCCCCCCGGCTGGCACAGTTCTCCGAGCCCGGCCTGCTCAGGCGCAGTGCTGGCAGCGGCCCGGGGCTCCTGGCCGGGCGCACAGCCCGCCGACCCGCCGCTCTGTGCACTGGGATGGCAAGCGCTTGGTTCGCAGGCGGGTGGCCCTGCTGGGGGCCCCTCGGGTAAACTCAAAAGGGACGGTAACACACGTTCACCATCAGGAGTACTTTTTTCTTTTTCAGAAATTAAAAGTGAGAGCGGGCAATCTGAAGCTGAGTACTTCGCAAGTATCTGGATCTGTTCTTGACTTAGCGCTGCTTCTTTACAGACCTGCTGGCACAGTCCAGTGAGGTTCTGCTTCGTCTCGCCCAGCGTGGACAAAATGTGATCTCTCTCTTTCAACAAGCTCTCCTTTTCATTTTGCTGGGAGGGGGAAGGAGAAGACAATGACTCGTGTTTAGTTTAGTAGCTCAATCAACATTTCTAAGGTAACCAAACATTTCGTATCTACTGCTGTCTTCTCATTAAATAAGATCACATAGAATTTTTACTTTCAACTCAATCCAAAAATCTACTAAGTACCTCAGAGGCCCATGATCCCTCATCCAAAATTCTGAGGCCCAGATGTATCACAGGATTCAGAATATTTCAGATTTTAGAAGACAACGTGGATGCACACATAATCCCTCTAGCAGGGTCTGGGGCAGTACCCCCACTGTCAAACATCTTCACATTTCTAAATAAAACACATTAAAATATAAAATTATGCACAACGTGGGAGAAAGAAGGACACAGCCCGATGTCAGCCAACATCAGTTTTCTGATCAAATACTTTATGACAAACTTGCCAGGTCTTCAGAGCTTTCTGGATTTGCAGATTGTAAACAAATGTGGGCCTGACATTTGAGACAGAATATAACCAAAAGTACAAGTACAGTCATCATAACTATGCAACTCTAATCATGGAGCATTTAGTTCATGACAGATATTGTGCTCAATGCTTTCAGATATGCAATCTCAACTGTCATTCATGCAATGACTCTGTTGATTTAAGTACTAATGAACCCATTTCATGGATGGGACACTGAGTTTAATGTGCTCAGAGTCAGAAAGCTAGTGAGTGAATTACTCAAATGTGAGGAGTTTGGGGAGGAATTTTATGCTTTTTAATTACTATTTTTGGTGCTGTTATTATTACTACTTAATTTTTTTTTTTTTTTTATCCCTACAGGAACGATCCAACCACAGAATGTTTCAAAAGTTTTCCTGGTTCCTGCCTTCCTATCCACCATCACTTGCTGATGCTGTCTCTTTCCATCAAGGTCCCACCTTGTCCTTCCTATTCTACCAACCCTGCATTGCTTCTTACCTGTATGAGCCAGGAAACCAAATAATCTTTAATCTTATAAATTAAGAGTAAATAAATGTTGATAGGTGAAAGGTTTCTCCTATACAACTTAATGACACTCTCTTGGCTTTCTGCTCACTGGCAGGCCCTGGAGAGCAGAGGTTGGAGGCTAACATCAGACCATTTATTTCAGAGTGATAATCAACAATGACCATCCTTTAAATGGATTCTATTCTGGAACAAAATCAGCTAAAAGGGTAAAAAGAAATTTACTTTATATAAAAGTGCTGCTACGGTTTTACGTAAAAGTTTTTCTTAAAAAATTATACACGAATCTAATTATTGATAGTTTTTAAATATTTCAAGGCATCTAATGTTTTGAATATAAAGTACTAAATTGTATTTTTTTAATTTATTTTATTTACTTATTAGAGAGAGAGCACAAGTAGAGGTAGAAGGAGAGAGACAAGCTGACTCCCCACTAAGCAGAGAGCCTGACATGGCGCTGGATCCCAAGACCCTGTTATCACAACCTGAGCCAAAGTCAGGTGCTTAACCAACTGAGCCACCCACCACCCCAAAGTACTCAATTTTATATCACCAAGTATTCTCCAGTTTGTTCATATTTTTATAGAATTGTTCTATTTTGGAAAGACACGTACAGGTCAAGAATATATATATATTTTTTAAATATAAATGAATAAATAAATAAAACCAAAATCAGTGTTTGACAGTGTATTTTTGGTTACAGAAAGTTTGTCAGTTGTAGGCTTCTGATAAAATGAATCCACAGGTACTGAGAGGGCAAGAACAGGGCCTACCACTCTACCTGCCCAAGAAGGAATATATTTAATGTGATCAGTACCCACTTCCTTTTATGGTCTCCTAAAAGCCAAACCAAATGAGGATGGAAACAAAGCTTCTAGAGGAAAATAAGAAGTATTTTTCCTGAGTCACAATACTCAGCCATGGACTCCTCTATCGAAGCTGAATGAGTCTCCGCTCTAAACATAAACAGATGAAATGTTTCTCGTTTGTTGTTTTTTTTAAAGATTTTATTTATTGGACAGAGAGAGATTACAAGCAGGGGAGTGGCAGGCAGAGAGAGAGGGAGAACCAGACCCCCTACCAAGCAGGGAGCCTGATGTGGGGCTCAATCCCAGGACCCTGGGATCACAACCTGAGCTGAAGGCAGATGTTTAACTGACTGAGCCACCCAGGATGAAGTGTTAACTGCTGATTGGTCTTTTAAATTAAACATGGCTAAGCAAAATCATGAGTTCTAAGCTTTCTCCCAGAAATCAGAATGGCTACTTTAAACCTACAGATACTAGAAAGATGACAAATACTTTATAACTCCTATTATCTTTAGATAAACACTGATATGACCTTAAATATTCTCCCTACTCCTACCCCACTAAATAATGGGTGACATGATGACACTCTTTGTGTGTCCCATACAGAATGACCTGCTTACAACTAAAACCAACAGGTACAACCCTGGAACTCTACCATGATTAAATGCTCCCAGATTTTCCCCTGTACTTAAACTCCCACACAGGTAAGTTTCCAGGCAGTTAGCTGATTTTTCCATTTCATTCTAATTCTAAAACACAAATTTACTTTGGTAATATTCATTAAATGAAAATAACTCAACTTAATTGCATCATGGTATCTTATTAAAGCTACCTCCCAAACATGCTCTACCAGCATCTATATTTTTTACCTACTCTACCTATTTCTACAATATATTTTAATTCTCCTATATACACCTATATTTCTATTTGTACAATACACCTATTTCTACAATATATTTTACCTATTTATACCATATATTTTAATTTTTCTACCTACTTCCACTATATATGTTTATTTTTCTACCTATTTATATATTTTAATTTTCCTGTAATACAATCATATAAAGCACAAGTCTGAGGTACTGTGGCTTTAAACGCAGATCTATAAGAAAAATAAAACTGGCATCCTGGTGCCATTCTGCATTTTATCACAACAAATTTACATTCAAATCCACATTTTCAATAGCTAGTATGCAATATTCACTCAAACACAGGAAGTTTAAAAAATATATTTTAAATATAACTCATCCAATAAAGATAAGGGATAAAAGACTTTGGCACCAAAAGGACTAGCTGACAGTGACAATTTTTTAGGTTAAAGAGTACTCACTACTAGGCAATGGTGATTGATGGTTCCTTATGATGTAAAGCCTCTACATAAACAGGAGAAATATACAAGTGGCCCTTAAAAGTATAAATACAAATGCTCAATTTCACTTATAAGAGAACAAAAATAAAAGCCACCATGCAATACCAATTCTCATGATCAGAATGAAAAAAACCCAAAGCTGAGGAAAAACTCCTTGCTGAGGCTGTGGGCAGACAGATACACAGATGCAGCTAGCTGGTGGGAAGGCAAAATACTACAACCGCTACTGAGCAGAATTTATTCATATCTAACAAAATTACATATGTATTTACCCTTGATCTAACAATCCTACTTCTAAGAATCTATCCCTAAGGACACATCTCCTTAAACACACACACACACACACACACACACACAAAAAAAAATGTATAAAGTTATTCATTGCAGTGTCCCAAATGTCCACCAATAAGAAACTGGTATGGACACTATGCTATAGTCACAGCTGAATATATGGAGCTGTAAAAGGAATGACAACCTCGGGGCACCTGGGGGCTCAGTCAGTTGGGTGTGTGACCCTTGACTTCAGGTCAGGTCATGATCTCAGGGTCATGGGATCGAGTCCCACAGCTGACTCTAAGCTCAGCACAGAGTCTGCTTGAGATTCTCTCTCTCTCTCTCCCTCTGCCCCCCACCCATCACACTCTAAATAAACAGATAAACAAGTTAATAAATAAAATCTTTAAAAAAAAAAAAGAATGACAACCTTTTTGAACTAAAAGTGTTTCCTGTAAACCACTTCTTAAGTGAAAACAGTAAAATACAGAAAGTACATATAGAATGTTTAGTAGCAGAAAGGGTACTAAGATAAACACAAAATACTAACCTGTTTTTAGAAAAAAAAAAAAAAAAAAAAACAAGGAAAAAATTCAGAGGCCAATAAAAAGTTACCCATAGGAAATAGCTACGAATAGGGTATAGGGAGAGCATGGGCTCAAGACTTTTTGGAGTACAGCTTTTTTTAAACATAGTTTTAACTTCTGAAACATATCAATGCTTTATATATTTGAAAATTACACAAAAACTGTGAAGAGCAAATCATATAATACAAACAGAAACAGATTAATTTTATCGTATATCAAATTGCTAGCACAGACAAAAAAATTACTTCAATTTCAATAGTATGGAATATATTTAAGGACAAAAAAGGGCAAACAAATCTTAAATTTTACTCCATCTGCTTATTGTTAATAGTAATACTGATGCTGTAATTTTGTGATTACATAAAATATATAATTATATATTTTAACATATAATTATAACTATAATATAGTTATGATACATTTACTATTTGCTTTATACTAACACATACAATTATATTTACTATTACTTTAACAAAATCTTTCCTGTTTGCTTTATACTTATATATATGTAGTCATATATTATAAATATATTTGCATAAAGCAAAGAGAAAATATATTAATATAACCGGGAGCCAAGATTTTCCCTATAATGGAAAGAGACAAAAGACAAACATAGAAGCAAAGAGAAAAGCTCTATACTACGAAATTTTTACTGAAAATATCTACATGAACTTGTGATTTCTATTATTTTTTTTACTTTTATTTATCAAAGCATGACAAACATACTTAATGTACACATGATTTTACACACAAACATACACACACAATTTCCCAGATCAACACACCCCAGCAAAACGCATGCTTTCTTAAGTTTAATACCTGCTAAAAGGAATCAGGGAATTTTGAAGAAATGATTCCAAATCTTGGGACACAGGAGATCTAAGGTGAGCCTGTGACATATTATTCCAGGGGGCACAGAACCACTAATGGGGTCATGTCAAAAGGACATAGCAGCTGGCTTGGGCGGGGGGCGGTTCTCTTTGGCCAAG